CTCTGTGGGGCGGCCAGGGTCAGCCACGTGCTCAGAGCAGCAGCCAGGGAGGCCATTTGGGCTCCCAGGGCCCCCGGCACCCAGCTCAGGGCCTGGCCCAGGGTCCGTGCCCAGTAAATGGTGTGGACTGAATGAATGAACTGCTCCAGGCGAGAACGAGTCCCACCCCCGAGGCGGCGCCCACGCGATGCTCACTGCGCAGCCGTCCACCAGGGCGTGGATGTAGGGGCTGTTGTCGTAGGACATCTCCTCGTCGTTGGAGCCCAGGAAGCGCATGGCCTTGTCGTAGCTGCCCGTGGCCGCGTCCTGCCAGGCCACCGACTGGTAGCAGTTGTAGGTGATGTTCTGGTTGGCGGAGGCGCTCAGCAGGCGCAGGAACGTCATCTGGACCACGCCCACGGGGCTGCCCTCGGCGTCCACGTAGGACAGCTGTGGGGGGACAGGAGGAGGGCGCTCAGCTGTGGGGGGACACAGGCGCTGATGCAGTCCCTGGGACAACGCTCACGGCGGCGCCTTCACCCACGGGCCCTCTCCTCCGCAGCGTGAGCCACACCAGGGCGCTGCCTGTCGACCGCCACTCGCCCCGCCGAGGCCGGCACACACCGGCTCTGTGGGGTCCCTGAGCCACACCTCACTTTTTCAGGAACCTAAGTAACCCCCCACTTCTGTGCCCAGCCCCATCCTGCAGGGCTCCATGCACGTGCCTCCTCCTCCAGGAAGCCCCTCTGGGTTAGGTGCCTCACCCTCACCTTGGCCTGTCTCAGCGTCCACCTTCCCCCCAGGGGCGTGGGGCGTCGGCGCCCGGGGCCTGGAAGGCAGCCCTTTCTGGGCCTCCCTGTCTCTGTGCCCCGAGGCGGCCAAAGGCTCATTAGGTTCCGTTCACGGTGAACACCCTGTGCTGAGGGCCAGTGATGGGCGAGGCCTGGCCAGGGGGCCTGAGAATGCAGGTCAGAGGGCCAGGCCCCGGGAGCACCCAGGCCAGCAGGAAGCCCGGCCCCTGGAGGGTCACGGCTGTACGGCCAAGAGCTGGAAGGTGGGGTGACCAGGCGCCCTCTTGGAGCCGCAGGGGCGCCCTGGGATGTCCCTGCCCCCCGGGTCTCTGAGTCTGGGACTCCGCCCGGGGCCGCAGCTGCCTCCTGGCCCTGAGACAGCGCATCTCTCCTGCCCTCCCTTGGGGAGCCAGGCTCTCCTCATTCCCACGCCCACTGAGCAAGGGTGGCATCGTGCGGGCGGAAAAGGCCAGGCTCTGAGCCGCCAGCCCTCCCCAGAGAGGTGCGTTTGTCGTAGGACATCTCCTCGTCGTTGGAGCCCAGGAAGCGCATGGCCTTGTCGTAGCTGCCCGTGGCCGCGTCCTGCCAGGCCACCGACTGGTAGCAGTTGTAGGTGATGTTCTGGTTGGCGGAGGCGCTCAGCAGGCGCAGGAACGTCATCTGGACCACGCCCACGGGGCTGCCCTCGGCGTCCACGTAGGACAGCTGTGGGGGGACAGGAGGAGGGCGCTCAGCTGTGGGGGGACACAGGCGCTGATGCAGTCCCTGGGACAATGCTCACGGCGGCGCCTTCACCCACGGGCCCTCTCCTCCGCAGCGTGAGCCACACCAGGGCGCTGCCTGTCGACCGCCACTCGCCCCGCCGAGGCCGGCACACACCGGCTCTGTGGGGTCCCTGAGCCACACCTCACTTTTTCAGGAACCTAAGTAACCCCCCACTTCTGTGCCCAGCCCCATCCTGCAGGGCTCCATGCACGTGCCTCCTCCTCCAGGAAGCCCCTCTGGGTTAGGTGCCTCACCCTCACCTTGGCCTGTCTCAGCGTCCACCTTCCCCCCAGGGGCGTGGGGCGTCGGCGCCCGGGGCCTGGAAGGCAGCCCTTTCTGGGCCTCCCTGTCTCTGTGCCCCGAGGCGGCCAAAGGCTCATTAGGTTCCGTTCACAGTGAACAACCTGTGCTGAGGGCCAGTGATGGGCGAGGCCTGGCCAGGGGGCCTGAGAATGCAGGTCAGAGGGCCAGGCCCCGGGAGCACCCAGGCCAGCAGGAAGCCCGGCCCCTGGAGGGTCACGGCTGTACGGCCAAGAGCTGGAAGGTGGGGTGACCAGGCGCCCTCTTGGAGCCGCAGGGGCGCCCTGGGATGTCCCTGCCCCCGCCAGGCACGGAATCCAGGGCAGCACAGAGGGGACCTTCAGCCGCCGAGTGGTCACTTGCCAGGCCGAACCGGGTGCCCGGGCACCCCTCTCTGTCAGCCAACACAGGGCCAGGGCCAGAGGGTGTGCTGTTCTCTAGGGCCCTCCCTAGCGTCACCAACAGACACCCACCCGGGCTCCCCAGCCAGTGGGGCGCGGGCCGGCGCAGGGCGGGGG